CACACACACACACACACACACACACACAGGGAAATTAAGTTAAGTCTTATTTTTGTCAGAAAAGATCGCTTGAAAACACTCTAGCATCATGTCTTGTTATTGTGTAAGTTTATGGAGTGGAACTTAAAAAGTAGAACGTTGGCTCAAGACATGGATATCTGCATTCTGTGGATGTCTGACAACAGTGCACTGTTTTCCATGAAAGTAATAATTTCAGACTTACATGATTTGCAACCAAAATAAACTTCTACCCCGTACTTAGGCTAAGATGACAACATGTCGGTAGCTTTTTGTCTTCTCGGTCTATGTGACATTCATCTGAGTAAACATTTCATAACATCATTAATTAATTTTACCTCCAGACCAAATGTAATTGTTCTATTCTACATCAAAATGTAACATTTAACACCAAACAAAAATTTACCTTTAAACTCTGGTCCAAAATCCACTGCTAGGTGTAAGACTTCACCATATGCTGTTTTGAAAAGTGACTTATGACAGAGTTTTACATAAACTAGTTGAAATGTACCCTTTACAATCTAGAACAAAATGTAACCTTTACAATCTAGAACAAAATGTAACCTTTACAATCAAGACCAAAATGTAACCTTTAAATGCCAAACAAATATTACTAATGCTAGGCCAAAAGTTAGTGTGTAACTCAATGAGACCAAACATTACCGCGTGAATCGTGCAAAGAAGCGTTGCTCCTGTTCATGGCTCTGTATGCCTCTGCCTCTGAGGCCCCCCGATGGTTGCCATAGTAACCACCGCGTTGTTGTTGCTGCTGCTGCGAGCGAGCCGGTGTCAATGTGCTGTCGTCGTAACCTTGACCTGACATGGGTCTGCTCAGCGTGTTGTACGGCGTCGTCTGACTGCTGGACGTTGGAGTGCGTGTCAGGTCTGGTGGACGAGACCCGTCTTGCCTGATGGAAAGAAGATTTCAGTTTTCGTTCTTTAGTTTTCATTGGATAATCAAATCTGTGTATTGTCTCACGTTCACGTTACTGATAACTTAAATCTGTGCAAATAAGCAAGTAAAAAGTGAAATAATAAAAGTCATACATCATGAACTTAAACTGAAAACTCAAAAAGTAACAACACTGTATTTGCCCATAGCATTATTATTGGGAACTGCATGTTGGTTCTAAAACTAATATAAAAAACAACAACCGGAGACCAAAATATCCCCCTTCTGAAGACCCAAAATCTACACTTTTTGACACCTCAAAAACTGAGGTAAAGTCAATATTGTCAAGGAAAAAGTGTCCACCTTAGACAAGTGAAAAAAAAAAGCGAAGGTGGGGGAAATGGGCAGTGGCCATTCACACAAAAGGATTGTGTACAAGTTGGCCACCATATGTCACAAATGTTTGAATGATAATGCACCATCATATTTATCAAATCTGCTAAGACTGTACATTCCAACTCGCAGTTTAAGGTCATCAGCTGACAAAAAGAAATTTATTTTACCATCTATGAAACTTAAAACAATGGGTGAAAGGGCATTTGAATACCAAGGCCCCAAGAAGTGGAATGCTTTACCAAGTACGTTGAGAGAAAACAAATCTTTTGATTCATTCAAATGTCAGCTGAAGTCGTTTCTGTTTTTAAATTAATAAAATGAATATTTGGAATAATTTTCTTTAGTCAGAACACAACGTTTCATGTTACTGTTGTATGCTGTACTGTATTGTAAAGCGTTCAGAGCCTGTGTACTTTATTCGGGGTTGAGCGCTATATAAATGTTATTATTATTATTAATTGTCTTATACATGTGACCCTTAGAGCAAGTTTGACTCGTTAAAATGCCACTGTGATCACCCCCACTGTGACTCTGAATGAGCACACTAGGTCACACCTTTACTTTAACCGGAATCTGTTGAGTGAGATCATTACTACATGTAGGGTGGACAATACCTGGGATAAGCCTTGGAGGTGGTGAAGTCACTCTGTCCATAGCTGAGTTTGGCGTATTCCGTGTGGAGAGACTTGTAGCCCCACAGTGTCTTGAGCAGCTGGGGACACACACACATCAACAGGTTGTACATAACATGTTTTTCACTTCCATCCACACAATTTAAATAATTTTCACTGTTTTTCTGTGCTTCTTTCAAAATTCTTTTTTTTTGTTTCAGTAAGAGTTGAATGGCACATGCTATAAATTTTCAGTCATATAAGTGAAGAAGATTAGAGGTGTTACAAGAGACAAGAGTAACAAACTAAAAAAGGTTGCGAGATAAGGATGAAAGATGTTTTTTGATAGGAAAGAAGAAGCAAACCACACCAGAGCACCCGCCAAGCACCCACTTTATCTGAGAGAAAAAAAAGTACATTTACTTTAAAAAATAAAAATAAAAATAGAAACTACAGAGGGGAAAAAGAAGTAGCCCCTTACAGTCATCCACATAAAGGCGTTTAGCTCTAGTTTGGAGAAAAAAAAGACTGACATAATATACACAGAAAGCGCTCAGTTTTTTAGTTTTAGTAGAGGTTTTATGGTGCTCTCAGCTGCATACGGTCATATGAGCATCAGAAGATTAGAGGTGTTACAAGAGAGTAACAAACATAAAAAAGAAGAAGGGGAGATAAAGAAGACAGATGTTTCATAGGAAAGAAGAAGCAAACCACACCAGAGCACCCGCCAACCACCACAGGAAGCGCTCAGTGAGAACTCACAGTTTGTGTGAACTTCAAAGTGCGGGAAAGATAGCGGCCCTCCGAGTTGTTGATGTGCATGAGTCGAGGAAGTCCGTCTTCCTGGATCAGGGCCCTGCACACACATAAGCAATGACACATTAAACTACAATATCACAACACACATACACAATGGCACATACAAACAATGATAAATCAAATATACAGAAACACACTGTGGAAGGGGGGAAGGGGTAGACAGAGATCAAGAGGGACTGAGAGAGAGCTAGAGATATTGAGATAAATTTTTATTATTATAATTACATTTAGAGAGAAAGAGACAAAGAGAGGGAGAGAGAGAGAGAGAGAGAGAGAGAGAGAGAGAGAGAGAGAGAGAGAGAGAGAGAGAGAGAGAGAGAGAAAGAAAGAAAGAGAGAGGGAGAGGGAGAGAGAGAGAGAGGAGAGAGAGAGAGAGGAGAGAGAGAGAGAGAGAGAGAGAGAGAGAGAGAGAGAGAGAGAGAGAGAGAGAGAGAGAGAGAGAGAGAGAGAGAGAGAGAGAGAGGAGAGAGAAGGAGAGAAAGTGAGGAGGGACAGAGAGAGAAAAAGAAAAACAGAGACAGCAGGTGAAAACTCAAATCAGAAACAGCTTATTACTACAACATGTACACAGACAACCCCCAGTAGCGTCGTCCACTTACATGGCAAAGTCCTGGTTGTCCTTGACCACCTCGTAGAGCGTGGCCACCACAGCACAGATGGTGTCGTCCGGCATGTTGTTCCTCAGGTCTCGGGGCAAGCGACTCACCAGCTGTCTGATGGCGTACTTGCCTACACAGTGATAGGAGAGAACACAATGAATGTCATTTTTTTTATAGTTTTAGTAAGAGTTTTACCGCACTTGCGACACAATAAGGTCATATAAGTGCTGAAGATTTAGAGTTGTAACAAGAGAGTAACAAACACAAAAAAGGAGGAGAGACAAGGACGATAGATGTTTGATAGGAAAGAAGAAGCCAATCACACCAGAGCACCCGCCAACCACAATGAACATTTATTTTTGTTTTGTTTCACCAACATAAATAATGGTCACTTAGTTTTTTCTGAATTTTATTTTTTGCCTGGTATACAGAAGGGTCAAATACACCATCTCTATAAAGCTGCACATCAATTCTCTTCCAGTGTTTTTCTATTCTTTTAAGCCACATTTGAGTTGAAGTGGTCTGTGACAGTTTTTTAAGTTTTTAGCCTCTCTTGCGAAGTAGGCTTCCAGATAGCCCACTGTGTCCAACACTATCAATTTAGTTTTGGAGAAAAGCCACAGATAGAAACAACATATGGTATCTTCAAATATGTTGCTCAGGTCACAAGGTAATTGTTTTTATAAGAGTTACAGCATTTGCAACACAAATAGGTCATATAAGTGTCGAAAATTGAAGGTATTTCAAGAGAGTAAGATTGAAAGAAAAGAAAGCGGAGAGATGAAGGCAGCAGATGTCAGCAAAGAAAGAGCAAACCACACAACAGCATTCACAACCCACCCATGCCTACAAACTGACAGGGAAGCAAGCAATTTAACTGAGTATGTGTTTTACAGCACTAAGGAACTCTTGAGTTTGAGTAAACAGAAAAACATCACCACCATGATGTTCATTTAGGGCTGGAGAAAAATAAGAAAGACAAACAGAAACAACAGAAAAAAAAGAAAAAAATTGTTTGTTTTTTTGTTTAACGGAATGAGAAGTACGTCAACACAATAACAGGTAAGGAAGTGTCAAGTACATTAGGTAATATAAATATTCAGTAAGAAAGAAGATAGACTGATTGAGCATCCCACTCACCGACCAACTCCTTGTTCTTCTCGTCAATGGCCAGGTTGCGGAGAGCGGTAGCCGTGGCACACACCACGCGGTCCGACTCGGCAGACAGAAGGTCAACCAGCAGAGGAAGACCCTTCTCTTTGCGTACCAAGGCACGGCTCTCTACTGCGGGCTGTCGACGAAGCAAAGACGTCACAATAATATCATGAATGGGAAAGAGTATAGCCGTTTCTTTCTTCAGGAGCCACATCTGAATCACACCCTCAATATGTTAAATAAATTACTCCAATGGCAACAGCATGTACAAGCTTATTTTTATGAAAACCATCAGAAACCAATAATACAACTAACATATTCATAGTGTTATGCTTTAACTGTATCTGGTTTCTTAAAATAATTTTCAAAATGCGAAAAAACAAATGAAAAAAAAAAAAACTTGTCCTGATATAAAAGATAATATAAAACACAAAAGTTAACTCAAGAGTACTTTCATACTACTACTAAAACAAACCAACTAATTATCGTTACTGAGGACCCACAGATCTATCTTGGTAATAATTTTAGCCCTGACCTACTTCTTCCAGTTACATGGTTAAAGCAGAACACTATCTATCAATTTAACTCTTTTTATCCGAGCTACAAGTATACACGTAACGAGGACTAGACTGGGCTACACGTAAACTCGGAACAGCTATATGATCACGTCAAACAGCTAGCTCAGCTGTAACTACCAAATTACACAAATGCAGCGATGTTCGGTCTGAATAATTCAATTTTCTAATGAATAGCGGTTTCTTTGTTTTTGGTGGGTGTAGAAGTTTGAAAAATGTATCGAAAACGCATGTTCAGGACCAACGAAGTACTTCAAGAAGTAGCGCTGGGTTGTGAGGGGGAATTGGACTAATTTGAGGAAAGTTACTCTGAATCAAGTGCCGTAAATTCTGTGGTGGATGACAACAAACAGGAATTAGACTCATCTAATAATGATTCAGATCATGATGAAGGGACCGGTACTGGAATTCGTGCAGTACCAATGGGTAGGTCTAGATCTATAAATCCATGGGGACAACAATCAGGATCAAGTTGGAGGGTGGAACACATCTCAAAATCTACATGGTGCAATAGGTGTAATTCCTAACCACACGTACTACATTCATTTTTTAAAATAACTGCCATATTTCCTGAAAATCTAAGAGTAAATGTAAGAAATACAGCAGTTTAAAATATACACCCTGAATTCCAACTCATACGGCGCAGCGGCCCCAGGACGGGTACAGAGTCCGTGGGGGTACGGCCAGGATAAAAAGAGTTGAGCAAATAATGGCCCGTCCTTGTCCTGGGGTTTCGTCCCCACAATAGTGAGCACATTCATCATCATTATAATCATTATCATCCATTTCCTAACAATATTCCTGTGGGTTTTTTTAATTTCTCAAAGCACAGTTGTCATACAAGTTGTAGTGTATGCGATGGAGCTCTCAAACTCCTGATCGCCAAATCTGGGACAGTCCCTGGAAATAATAATGGAAATCATCCCCATCTATTTTCTAACAGTATTCCTGTTTCCAGCAATTTATTTTTCTCAAGGCAGAACAATTTTAAACACATTGACAAATTTTCTACGTAATTTACAAATATCCAGCATCAAATCGGGATAAGGGACCAAAAAAAAAAAAAATCAGTGAGCCCCTACCTGCCAGTCACAGGCTGTGAGGTTCTGTATAGCACCGGCCGCCGCCTCCATTGTGATGGGGTTGGTGCAGCGCTTCAGAACCGTGGAGTACAGACTGTGGATCTCTGGGCCCCACAGGGACCGGTACTCTGTGGAGGACGGGGGGAGCTGCGGAGGGGGGCTGGAAACAAACAGGATTCTTGTTTATTTATAAGGTGATGGAGAAATACAGCTTGAGTGAAGAGTAGCTCATCAACAGTGTGAAGGTCATTTAGTGCTAGAATAAGCAAGACAGGCAGAAAGAAAGAAACAAGGAAAAGAAAAGAAGTAGAATCAATCAGTAGCACCCTCTAACCACTCCTAGAAATAAAGCTTTGTGAGGTTTTACTTGCGAACAAAGCTTTTAAAAGCTGATGTAGTTTGTTTCAGTAAATAGAAGTTTATTAATACAATAGCAATCATTTAGTGAGGAAAAGATTGAGACAGATAGAAACTACAAAGGGAAAGGAAAGAAGCTGTGGTGTCCTTCGACTACAGAGCTGGTTTTAGTTTAAGTTAGAGTTTTCCGGCACTTGCAACACAATGTGGTCATGTAAGTGCCGAAGACTTGAGGTTGTACTAGCGAGTAACATACAACGAAAAGGAGGAGAGATGAGGACAATAGATGTTTGATAGGAAAGAAGAAGCAAACCACATCAGAGCACCCATCAACCACCCATGACAGGCTGTTTAAGAAACACAGCTTTGTAATGTTTTCTTTACAAAGCTTTTTGAGGCCCGTGGAGAAATAAAGCAACGTAACATTTTACCAAGAGTTTGAGTGATAAATAACGCTGAAAGGAGGAGCAGGCAGAAAAAGAAGACTGAAAACGCAAAAAAAACTACAAAAAAACAATCATTTCCTTTCTCCATTATTCTCTCCCTCTCCCCTAAAAAAAAACAACAACAACAAAAAATCCCTGTCTACTGAAATTAACTGCAAGGTGTGCTCCAGGTACTCACTTGTTAATTTGATTGCCGGACTTTGTCTGGGCGTTCTTTGCTTTGGCAGACTTGTTTCCGAAGCATCCTGCCTCTGAACCTCCTGGAAGGTAAGGCAAATAAATTGCATTACATTTCAAATGATCGTCAAATCTGTTTTGCTTGCAAAGAAAAGAAGTAAGACCTACTAGTGGCACCCTGAAACCACTCATTTCAGAAAATGGTACGTAATCTAAATTTACCAAATGTACAACCCTTAAAACACTGACTTCACTAACAGTTGAATATGAAATATGTTTCTCTTTGCTGACTTGTCCAAAAGGGTAAGCCTATATGGTGCTATTTTTTAGATAGATACAAATGTTGACACAATTTCTAACTCACTATATCGGCTAAGCTTAGGCTCCTTCCAAAATTTCACAGCCATTTTTCTCCAAAAAATATTCGAGCAGATATGACAATCTCACATTATACCCGCGCACAGCATCCTGTACTATCTCAAATGCGTCCTACCTTTGGCGTTCTTTCCTTTCCCCTGTGGTGTTTGCTGCCTCGGCAGGGTGCGCTTCTTGTAAAAATCTGGGTCCACCACCTCCTGTATGCGGTAGGAGAGGTTGCGGAGGATGCAGACGGTGTTCTCGACCACTTTGTTGTCGATGTCGTTGCTGCCCAAGTCGTCAGCTGCCAACTTCAGCATGTAGATCAACGCGTTCACCAAGCCCCTCGATTCTCGCAGTCGCTTTCTGGCGTCAAAACCAGCTGAGCTCACATTTCTGCAAAGATGAACAAATTCATTAAACAAAATAAGAGAAAGGTCAGTTAAAAACAAAAACAAAATCAGAACACTTGACTCACATATCTACAAAGATAAAAATAATTCTAAAAATATAAAGTAACAAAAATTGATTTAAAACAACAAAAAGCATGACACGCCACCCACATTTCTATAAATTATAAAGATAAAATTATTTCTTAAACAAAATATAATAACAGGCTGATTTTGAAAAAGCCTCAAGACATGCACTCTTATTTCTAGACTTAAAAAAAAGAATTTATTACATGAAACAACAAGGATGGTTTTTAAAAACACCCATGTATCATGTAGGCTCTTGAGGTCTAGATGTTACGGTGCTCGCCTCTCATTCAATAGGACCCATATCTGAAAGACAGTTATCATCCATAATTAAATAAACAGTTTTGTGAGATTCTACTTTTACACATGTAACTATGACACAAATGAATCAACAGCGTAGACAACACATTATTCCATCAACAAAACAGCCCCCCACTGCAGTTACCTGAGGACTCCCGTGGTGTTCCGGCAGACGGCGGTCCAGGGCAGCTGAGAGGAGGGCCCACCCATGGCGCTGAAGCCCGAGTAGCGCAGGATCACACTGTTCACCAGGACGCTGAGACCATCGTCGATGATGGACTGCTTCAAGTCCTGCAAGAGAAATGTTTTTATTTTATATTTTGATAGTAGTTTTACAGCACTTGAAACACAATTAGGTCATATAAGCGCTGAAGATTTAGAGGTGTTACTAAAGAGGAGTGAGGCAAGGATGTGTAATGTCACCAGACCTTTTCAAGAGAGTAACAAACATTTGAAAAAGGAGAGAAAAGGATGACAGATGTTTGATAGGAAAGACAGACCAAACCACACCAGAGCACCCCCCAACCACCCCCACAGGTGGTAGAACCTCATTAAAAAGTAACATTTAAAAACAAAAATAAAATCAGTGGAGAAGAGACATATGGAGTTCCCAGGACATTTATACTGATCTAAAAGATTTGAATAATATATTTGCTCTCAGTAGAAAGAACAGAAGGCAAGAGGCAAAGGTAAACCAAAAATAACTTACTTAAACAAAGAGTTTGAACAGATCAGAGAAACAAAAAGACCTGAACAATATGGGTTTTTTAAAAGACCATCAGAGTAGAGAAATGAAAGTCAAATCACGGTCACTGATGTCTGTTTCAAACCTGGGATTTGAACAAGAAAAATCAAGGTTCTAGAAATTTGGATTTTTAAAAAATTTAATGAATAACATTATAAAACATTCATCGTCAAGAAGGTAAGCTAACCCAAATTGTGAGAAATATTTCTTACCTCACACGAGGAGAGATTCCACAAGACCCCAGTGACTGACTCCTTCACATCCTCCTGCTCCGACTTGCGCAGGACTCGTATCAACTCTGGAATGCCGCCTTCGTTCTTGATGGCTCTCTGAGGACAGAACAGCAACAGCTCAGGTAAAAACCATGGGAGATTCAGTTTTATGAAGAGTTTTGTGGCTCTTGCAATACAAATTGGTCATATAAGTGCTGAAAATGTGAGGTGTCACTAGAGATTAACATACAAAGAAAAGAAGGAGAAGAAGAGATGAAGATAACGGATGTTTGATAGAAAAGAAGGAGCAAGCCACACCAGAGCATCAGCTAACCACCGACTTGAGTGATTTGACAGAATTTGAGTCAACAGAGGAAGAGGTAAAGATAATAAATTATGTAGTAACACTAACAAGAAGTTAAGGAGCAGACCACAACACTAAACTGATCAACCACCTGCTCCAAAGAACAGCACTCTTACTTCATTCTATTCACAAGACTACTAATGATTTACTGAACTTTACAAAATCTAATTCAAGTTAACTCTTTGTCTCACTATGCCGGGCCGTTTTTTGGTACGAAATCTAAAAGTAAAAGTGACAAAAACATCACTAAATTGGTCATTAAATCAAAACAATTGAGCATATTTAGATATTTTTTCATCAAATGAACGAACTCTTGAAGACCTGTTTTCTGCAATTGCTGAAAAATAATTTGATGCTGAAGTCGTCATATAGGAATGTGTCTAATCTCAAACAGCAGAAAAAGACAATAAAACTCATCCAAAACAAACCTCACATAAATTAAAATTTGGAGGGGGGGGGAATAAGCAAAAAAGTTTCACTACTGGAATTTTATGGCGAAAAGACAATACGAGACATTATCTATTCTAGACATAATATCGTATTATTATTAAACAAAGAACGTATGTTTACCATACAAATAACACTCTATATTCAAAATGAAACATCCAGTGAAACAGCGAACACAAATAGAGTCAACCACAGATAACTCAAACATGGAAAAGTCGAAACCACCAAAAGCTCTTTCAATTTTTGCAATTTCCTGGACTGATATCGCTTAATTTTTTTTTGTCATTGGTTAACCCCAATTATGAAAGTGTCAAACACATTTCGCCACCCTAAAATTACAAAGTTCTGTTTTGAGAAGTTTGAAGTAAAAAATGTATCATTTCACACGTCAGGCTTTTATGAATGCAAATCTTTGAATATCTTGTTAATGACTCCAAATAATCTTATGAATTTGATAGAGCAGATAGAGTATTTGGTTTTGTTTACTTAATGAGCCCCACAAATGGCTCTTTTTTTTTTTTTGTAATTATAAAATTTTTTCCACTCCCCCCCCCCCCCCCCCCCCCCCCGATGTGTTTGAGTTATCTGTACTCACCTGTAACATGCTTACCTTATTGTCATTGTTGCTTTTCCCGTAGCTGAGGTTCTGTAAGGCACCGCAGGCGTTCTTATGCACCTCTATCTTTTCATGGGTGAGCAGTCGCACCAGAGGCCTGATGCCACCAAGGGATCTGAGAGGGAAAGAAGGGGAAAATTAAATGAATGTCAAGAAAAAAGATGGAAGGGAGGGTGAGAAGGAGAGGGCGAGAGAGTGACAGAGGGAGGAGTGAGAGAGGAAGAGGGAGAGAGAAAGAGAGAGTGAGAGAGAGAGTGAGTGAGAGAGAGAGAGAGAGAGAGAGAGAGAGAGAGAGAGAGAGAGAGAGAGAGAGAGAGAGAGAGAGAGAGAGAGAGAGAGAGAGAGAGAGAGAGGGAGGGCGGGAGGGAGGGAGGGAGAGGGAAATATGAGAGAGTAAACTGTTTGAAATTAAAGAAAAATAAATAAATTTGACTTTATTGTTGATCCCAGCAGGGAAGTTTGGGTTACATTGGCAGGCTGGTATGCACACAAACACACACACACACAAAGTGTCTCAGTCTTTCCGACAGGACAATTTATACCTCTCAGTCCCCACTGACCCTGACAGATAAGGTCAAAGCCCATACATTTTTTTTTTTAAATTCTGGATAAACAGAGGAAACTTTGGAACAACCATGAGCATCAGTACAAGTCTGAGACCAAGGCAGTAACCCTAGAACAACCCCCTTACCTGGCTTTTGCTTTGACAGCATCGTCCATGTATGTGATGTGCTGCATGTGAGCGGCCGCGCTAGCCTTGATGCTGTCGTCATGTGAGCCCAGGTAGTCGATCACCTCCTGCAGGTCCGGGTATCGAACGGGCATCCCTGAACCTGGTTGGTAGGTAAGTAAGTCAATTAGTATGGGTGGGAGGGGAAGGGAGGGGAGGGGAGAGAAGAGGAGTGAAATAAAGTAAATAAGTAAGTTTATTCAATGGTTAAGGCCATTAGCCCACATCATATCACACAAAACACTCATTTTTTAAATAAAGCTACCACAATGAAAAAGTAAAGGTTGTGCACTATCTCTTATCATGGATCAACAATTGCATATTTCTGTCACCGGGCTAAGTCAGCCTGGGAGGAATTAACAAATTCCTTCGTTAACAAATTCCTTCGAAGGGCAAAATTTGGACAGTAAATAATAAAGTGAAATTCATCTTCAATTTCATTGAATTTACACATTTCACATAAGGGTGAATTTCTCTGAACCAAAGAAACACAAGTGTCATGACATGGTGGAATCGATCAGGCATGTCAATTTTTGGGCATGTGTATTAATTAGTATCACCAAAAAGCTAGATCTAGTTCATTTTTCTTGCTTTTGATTCTTAAAAATCCATCTATCCTGAATAGAAGTCGAGATATTCACGGTTGAAGGAGGTGGGAGAAGCCTGGTCTCAAAGGTAAAATTAGTGAGAAAATGGTCACCTTTGTTTGGTAACTTCAATAGCTTGAGAATCCTTGAAACTGAACATTTACATATTTTCTGCCTTTAATCACTAAGCGCCTGATTTTGACATTCAAAACATTTCAGCAGTCAAGTTTTGATGACCCGACTCTAAACGCAACCCGATCAAGAACAAATTCCTGAGCTTTTTTGTGCCCCTTCATGGCATTTTCTCGAACAGGTAAATCTGAAAATAAAATTTCTCGCTATTTTGTTTTCTTGGTTGAGTGGAAAACCTGTTTCAAGTCTACTAGTAACACTGGCATGAAGACAAGAGCAGACCACACCACAGGGCTGACCAACCATAGACTTAAAAGGGTCCTACAAATAGCACCCTCCAACCACCCGCTATGTTCATAATATCATCGAGATTGAGCAAGCTAACATCTCATAGCAACACATCTCATCACTCACTCATTTGTGCGACCATTCGTCCATCTACAGAGGGAGTCTTCCTTCCTTCATTCAGAGGCGGGGCCGCCCTAAGGTTCAGCTGTTCTAATCTGCGAGCTGCGTCTTGCTCCGGATAGTCTTGAGGATAATCTGCACACAAACCAAAGGGCAAACGTTATGATACAGTTGAAATCGTCTACAACTGCCACCCACTGTCAAGGAGAGCTTTTTTTAGTTAAAGTAAGTGTTTTACACCACTTGCAACACAATCAGGTCCTATAAGTGCAGAAGATCAGAGGTGTTACAGGAGGGTAACAAACACAAAAAAGTAGGAGGAGAGATTAGGACGATAAATGTTCGAAAGGAAACAAGAAGCAAACCACACTAGAGCACCCGCCAACCACCCACTGTGAACAAAAAAAGTGGCCGTCTTAGCCTGGTGGCCATTCTACACAGAGCCATTGCGAGGGAGGAAACGGAAAGTGGCTGTTTGTACAGGCCATTTGTCTTATACAGGTATCCATAGAAATGGGCTCATTTAGGAGGCAGACTGCTTTGATCCTGCCAGGCATTTCCCATACAAGTATATAATCACTCCGGTACATCTCACACTACATTTAATGAAACACCACTCACAGTTCAAACTTTTACACAGTAATGGTTTTTGCTATCAATCTCTTTTTCAGTAATCAAAATCCTATCCCCCCCCCCCCCCCACCCCCCACCCCTCCCCCTTTGAACAACTTTCTATAAAATCTCTCTCCCTTAAAGAAATCTCAATCAATTTAAAAAATCCTCTCCCCCCCCCTCCCAAATAACATCAACAAAAAGCAAAAAGCAAAAAAACAAACCCCAAAACAACCCATAATTCAAGTCAAAGCAACAAGCAGGATGAAGAAAACATGTTTTAAAACCACCTGAAGGATATCGTGGTGCACTTTGGGAGTATGGGTCAGGCCCGTCTCTGTCGTCGTACGGGGGCCCTCTATCGTCATAAGGGGGGCCTCTATCATCATAAGGAGGACCTCTGTCATCGTATGGAGGGCCTCTGTCGTCATACGGTGGACCCCTGTCATCATACGGTGGAGCCCTATCCTCGTACTGGGCTGGATCTGGGCCTGAGCAGAAGTAACACACAGAACGTAAATTAAGTAAAATTTCAGCAAACTTTACGTTAGTCATCCGTGTTCATTTCGACTGCTCAGTATTAGACTTCAAAATGTGTCACTTTCAAAACAGCATATGGCAGAATCTTACAGTAAGCAGTCCATTTATATTATACATTGGTAAACATTTTTAGAGATATCAAAACCTTTGTTAGCAGAAGAAGAATAAAAATATTATCACTGGTAATGCACACAATCTACAAATTCAATAGCCTTAACCATATTTTTACAAGAAACGCACCAATTTTTAATTTACCAGCATTTCTTTGCAAGACAATTAGTTGACTGCCACTTGTCCAGGAGTGGGAGTGAAGGGAAGTCGAGTATATCCCAAAATCAAATTCTTCATTGACTGAAGATGTCTCTTATTAATTAAGGTTACATTTCAGCTTGAACGCTCAGCCATAGTCGAACATGATACCAGCTGAGCTAACAGAGCACCCTGTCTCACAGTCCTTCCGGCAGTATTGAATGAACACTCCAGGTATCAGGTTATGTATTGTATAGCCAAACTGAACGAACCAGAGAAGCCAACCGAATACCCCCCCCCCCCCCCCCAAATGGAAAAGTGTGCGTGGGGACTCCAAATTTAAGTATCATATTGTCTAATCCATCTTAAATCGAAACTATTTTTATGGAAAATACAATGTAACATTCAAAAAGATTATAATATAATAAATGAATCTACAAGCAACAGTATATTACAAATTCCAGACAACTTCAGAAATCGTATCTCAGGATATATCAAGTAAACTGGCACCTCTGATAAACTCTCCGGGTAACGGGCTCTATCTCGCTATACTGAATCAGAACTCAGTGCAACACTCCCTGCTGCAGCTTTTCTCTGCACAACAGTTAAAATCAATGTGTTTTTAAGCCCCCCGTTGATACAATTTTGATCATTTAGGAGGTAGGCTTCTGACCCTGCCCGTCTGAGCCAAGCCGTGCTGAGTGGGATACATCCCATCAGAAAGACTGAGATATATGATAAAAAATATTTTCCCTACTCAGGAATCAAATTTGAGCTCTCCTGCTTTGTGAGTCATTGTAAGGAAAAGAACAGTCGCTTTGGGCCCTGCGTACATTTACTTTAACTATCACATTTATTCACATGTTACATGCCTGGTGCCAACTTGATGGACATCAGGGATATCATTAATAATCTGTTTGTTAGTTCGAGGAAAGGGAAAAGAATATAAGGCACAATAACAGTCATTTAGTACTAGGACCTCACAGAAAAGAATGTCTGCAAAATAACAGACTTGACAGTACATCTCTTGAAAAAAGATGTCTGCAAAATAATAAAATACACAGCACATCTCACAAAAAAGATGATACCTGCAAATCTCATGGAAAAAAAGTCGTCTGCCAAATAACAAAATACACAGTAAATCTCATGAAAAAAGATGTCTGCAAAATAACAAAATACGCTCATAATCAGTTAAATAACTACAGGTACAGAAACTCAAAAGGCAAGCAGCTAGTCGTGTCAGAGTTAGACCATATATCAAACTTGTTGTGAGTTGTATGGATAGTAGTCCCTGGGTGAGCGGGCTTTGCATTCCATGAGTCTCCGTTCATCCATCATCATCACCATCATGCTGGATTAGCAAACACCTAGAGGAGAGAGGAGACAATGTGGTGCCATATTACCGTAAAAATATGAGCAGTAAACGTCACTACCTCCTGCTGGTGAGCCGCCTCGGTAATACGGGTCTTCTGGGGGACCCAGGCGGTCACCGTCTCGGCTGGACTGCTCTCGGAACGGGTCGTCGCCGAATGGATCCGATCTGACAGGAGGCAACCCTTCGAACCTCCGCTGGGAGTCGTCCAGGTAGTTGTCCCCTTGGCGGAAAGAGTCATTTGGTTGGGGGACGTGCTCTGGGTAGTAGGGGTCGCCGCCGGGCTGGTCGAAGCTTCGGCGCTCGCGAGGGGCATCGGAATATCGGTCCTGCTCACCGTATGGGTCGTACTGCAGGGAAGGGGGGCCACCACCACTACCACCATGGCCGTAAGGGTCACTGCCGGGGAGGGCTTGCCCTTGGTAAGAGTCCTGCGGCTCGTGGAACGAGGTGTTCTGACGCTTCGGATATGTGGACTCGTCGTTGTAGGGGTCGTCCCGCGGATCCTGCAAGGACAGGTTTTGGTGGTCATCTCGGAAGTCGTCCTGGTGTGGGGTGCCCGCGCCGTAGCCTACCTGCTCCGGGTGGTAGCGCTGGTCATCATGGAAAGAATGGGGCTGGTCGTCATGGAAACTGGGTTGGTCGCCGTGGTAGCTGGGCTGGTCGCCGTGGTAACTAGGTTGGTCGCCGTGGTAACTGGGCTGGTCGGCGTGGTAGCTGGGCTGCTCGTCATGGTAACTGGGTTGGTCGCCGTAGAGAGATCCTCCACCACCGCCGCCACCACCTCCACCCTGGTCCAGATACTGGGGGTCTCCCTGGTAACCGTAGTCCAGCTCAGCCTGCGGCCGGCCGTACGGGTCATCGGGGTAGTGGACACCGCCATTGTAGCGCGGGACTTCCTGGGGGTAGGGGTCGGCGTAGTTGCCGCTGTGGTGGGGGTCACCGCCCGGGGGACCCTGGAAACTGCTGCGGCTGCCGGCGTAGGACCCCTCTCTAAGAAGACAAGACAAAGACATTGAGTAGAGAGATACAACAAGGACCGTGATGGCACTTCACATGAAACAAACTATGAGAACTCTGTGTGTGGCGCGCGCAAGAGAAAATGCTTAGGATGGCAAACATTTTTCAAAACTAACATTTCTGCATGTTTGAGAAACTTAATCTTTCCTGAGCATTCTGCATTTTACTCAGGTGCGACTGGATTTCCGTTAAAAAGTTAAAGCACTTCCAGGGAATGGGGGTCCAAAAGATAAGTATTGAAATTTTTCATGACGAGACTGCATAAGAAGGAGAAAACAAAACTCGTGTAATCCCTCAATCTTTTTCAACTGCTACAACATTCATAGACGAAAAGTGACAAAATTCTCTTTCTCTTTGAAAGGGTATGTTACAGTGGTGGGTTTGCTTGAAAATTGGTATCCATTCATAGAAGTAAACAATTCAAAATTTTAGCTACAATTGTGTTTTTTTAAATATTCACCAGAGTTTTAGCAAAATCTGTTTAAAAGATGATGTACAAATGGTATAGCTTTCCATAATTTTATAAAACTACATTTATGTCAGAAAAATAGTTCCTGGTCTGTTTCTAACGGTATCTGAAAACAACCTTTCGTACATTCCAATGGATTTTCTAGTAGCCCTGTGCATATAAGCATACAACTATCAAGAAAGAAGTCTTCTATTATAGTTTTCTTCACTTACTGTAATACAGTATGGATTTTAAAATAATAAAAAATCCAAAACGTTTTAGTAAACTTGTAGAAATTCAGTTGATTTTTTAAAAAAATTAAATATCATTGTTGCTGTGGAGCCAGTTGAAGTTCTACTTACTTACTGTACAAAAGTAAGGATCAACAAAAAATTACAAGATACTGAAAATTCCAACAAACTTGTAGAAATTCAGTAACTTCTATTTAAACATTGGTGCACTGGAGTCAGTTCTTACTGCTATGCAATAGTCAATAAGATTTCTGAAGTAATGTTTTTAAAAAATGAACAATTGATTTGCTCTCTCAGCACAGAATGTAAACTTTAAATCTAAAACAACACTTACTGCTGAAAAAAATCATGTGTACACCTAGTTAAAACTATTGCATGGCATCACTCTCGGTTTCCCTAATGAGTAATTACACACGTTTTTAATAATACTGGACAATTTTATTACGCAAATCCATTTCTCCAACATCCACTACCTTATAAAAGAAAAAAAAAGGTTAGTATTTATAAATATATCAAAATGACTTAAATGAAGAGGGCAAAGGCTGGCTGTCCAATCAAAACAAGTAAACCAAGGAAAACAAAATAAACATTAGACTCAAAGATAATAGAGTGCTTGAACTCCCCTCCCCCCCCCCCCCTCTCCCCCCAATTAATGCTTGGATCAGTATGGATAAAGGATAGAACTGGTACAAGTAAAGAGAATATCAAAAGCTGATTTTTTGTTTGTTTGAGTATATCAACACAATTATGGTCATTTAGAGCTGGGGGAAAAAAAATCAAGAAAGACAGAAACAACAGAGAAACTATGCTTCATAAAAACAGAGCAGCGAGAAAGAGAAAAGCCTATCATAGATTGCTTGTAATATCAAAACCTACCGATCAAGGCGTCCATTACGACTACATTTTTATTGAAGCAATGAGCAGTATTGAAGTTGGGAGGACGACCAACTAAAGGAGCCCACCAACCACCCACATCAAGAGCTGAGAATAAAATTCAGATCCATTTAAATAACAAAAACTTCCCATGAGGTCAACCAGCCACACTACACGTCTACAACTGATGATATCATAACGGGCTGCAAACCTCAGAATAAATACCCTTACCCTACAATCCAAGAAAAGAAGGATAGGCTATTGTGAGCTAGCTGCATACCCCAAATTATTCCACTTTTCCATAAACCCATTTTGTGATGCATAGCAACTGATGCAAATTACATCTTTTACCTAAAACAAGTATATTAAATCTTTACAACCTATCACAAGCGCCTAAACTATGCTTCATAAAAACAGAGCAGCGAGAAAGAGAAAAGCCTATCATAGATTGCTTGTAATATCAAAACCTACCGATCAAGGCGTCCATTACGACTACATTTTTATTGAAGCAATGAGCAGTATTGAAGCAAACTAGCATTAGAATTTAAAAAACAAGTATACATAAGAGAACAATTCATCCTGTACGAGTTTAGACGAGTTTAGACATCTAAATGTTTTTTTAAAAAGCTCTTTTGTAGGTAAATTTCTATGCAAGGCGGAGAAGAATAGCAGCACGAGTATATTTCATATGTTCTGGCAAACAGGAAGCACGTATGTACAGGCGGAGGAAAAAGCAGCAGTACGAGTTGTAGGAATAAACATAAAAACAATAACAATAATGACAATAAAGAACAACAAAGACAATAAACAGGCCAAGAGAAACACAGGAACGACCACATCATCCTTCAGACCTTCTGTGCGTGAAGGCAAAGCACCTAACCACAGCATCACAGATGGCGATTAAGTTAGATAAGGACATTAACATTCCCACTTCAACTCCTAATAAAATTAGTGTAGTTTTCATAAGAGTTTATCAGCACTTGCAACACAAATACAGTCGAACCTGTGTAAGACAGAATCGCAAATCGAGCCAGAAAAAAAATTCCGTCTCAGACATTTTTCATTTTTGACAGGGGAATTTAAGATGGGGGTGGGGGTGTAGTGAGGTTTCAAAGGCCCAGCCAGTGAGATCAAGGATCGCTTGTCCGGTCGGCAAGCAGTGGTCAAAATTTCACGTCTCTAAACTGCTATCCTCTCTAACAGAGACATGCGTAAGTCTTACTTATCTAATTACCACCAGTGCTTGCATTTCATAGGACCACTGCGTGACCTTTTAAAAACAGAAATGTTTGAACATCTCCTTTGCTTTCACCCTTAGCCCCACCCATCGGTGTAACAACAAGCCATCCCTTACTGCCATGTATGAACAATTCGAGGAACTCTTTTCTCGGCTGGCCGTACGATCAGGGCGTCAGGCATTGGTCAAATTAATTTCACACCTCTGGCTACCAATGAAAGTTTCCGTGCTGGAGCGCCATTCGAGCACTTTCAGTGGCACTCGTGAGATTTCACACCCACACCACCCTGACCATCTTCATCCCTCAGGGCTCACATAGATGGGGCAACATCTACCCTCAAATAGCGCCCCTACTCCCCTTCCTTGCCTGGCAGCATGACGCTAAGTTTACAGCCGGTGGAACCAAACTTGCGAGTTTTGTTTTGTTTCAAATCAGGGCTGAGCAGGCAAAGCATTTTCCGTCTTAGACAGGTAAAACCCTCTGAAGGGAACGGATTTGTCTTTACATTTCAGCGTTGGACAGTTTTATACAGGTATTTAAAGAGGAATATATAAAGGGGGGAGCGGGGAGATTCCGTTAAGACAGGTTTCCGTTTAGGCAGGTTCAATTGTAGGTCATATAAGTGCCAAAGATGAGAAGTATTACTAAAAAGAAACATACAGGGAGAGATAAGAACCATCTATCTTTGATATGAAAGAAAGAGCAAACCATAGCAGAGCACCTACAACCTCCCCCCCTCCTGACAATAGAATACATTAAAAGTGGACCTTAACCAATCCATCACTAACTTATTGACATCCAGAGGAAGCAAACAACAAAGGAAATAGACAGGAAAAAGAAGAACTTGACCATGGAATCCTCAAAATGCAAGACAAGAAAACTCCGATTCTAAAGTGGGAGAATTATTTTATACATATTCCGTAAAAATGTCCCCCAAACTGGAATCAAACCAAGCTCATTTTGAGTGCATGGCAAAGAGTGTATAGTGACTCAAAGTCTGACTCAAAGTCATTAAGTCTTGCCAATGTCACAAAGACACATGGCCTGACACTTACTCAACAAACAGCAACCAAACACAAGAAGAAAACCACAGAATATGTTACAGTGTCCTTAACAGATTACACGCAGCAGAAGACAACAGAATACATAACACAGCTCCTTGATACAATGCGCAAAGAAGAAAACCACAGAATATATAACGGTGCCTTGACCCGGAAGAACACAGCAGAAAACATTACAGCTTCCTTGACAGATTGCACACAGAAGAATGCCACAGAATACATTACAGCATCCTGACACATTACACCAAGAAGAATACAACAGATAACATGAAAGTGCCAGGACACATTGCACCCAGAGGAATACCACTGAAAACATTACACACAGAAGAATACCACAGAAAACATTACAGTGCCTCTACACATAACACCCCAAAAAGTACCAGCGAAAACATTACAGTGACTTTACACATTAATTACAAAAAGAAAGAATACCAAAGAATACATAACAGTGTCTCGAAACACTACGCAAAGAGGAATACCACAGAACCCATAATACTGTCTTGACACATTACACCGAGAAGAATACACTGAAAACTTTAGAGCAGCACAATGTAACGTCAACAGATAGTTCCACCTAATGACGTTCTAACTTCTCATTTTAAAAACTGAAAAAGAAAGAAAGAAAGAAAGAAAAGAACCTGGCTCTCCTGTGCATGCAAGTGAATCTACTGATCCTGTCTTTCAGTGCTACGAAACGTTCACTTCAAAAATGCCTATTTATCCATATTATTTACTGCACGAAGTCGTCAAATTTTCTCTTTTGGGTGATCGATAAAAGGTAATATTGAGTGACTCCATATTTCAGTTAATGTGTGGGCAAATGATGGCAGGAAAAAAAATTAGTTTAAAGGAAGAAAGTCAGATACAATATAGTATAGGTGAGGGGTTGCTTACATGCGTTTTTTTAAAAAGTATGGATGTATTCAATAACTTACAGTCTGATTGAATCCTGCTCAAATTCTTAATTATTAGCAAAGATTAATACAGAAAAACATGCTGATTTTAAAGGACACAATCACCACAGAATGCAAAATACAACAGTAATAGGGACAAGACAGACAACACTGACAAACGCACAAACGCAATTGCGAAAAGACAGACAATCACACAGCAGTAGCCATGACAACCACTCCAACAAACAAACATGGCAGTTAGTAGAATCACTGAAGGAACCACAGTGCTTTGACGATGGCTTGTCTCACACTAGTTGGCCCCAAAAACCTTCACAATTTCGAAGATCAAAGCTCAACAAAAAAAGTCTCACATTAGCAAATCACTACCCTAGAATTACAAAGTTCTATCTGCTCAGTACCTAGTTTTGAGAACTTTGGTGTAAAAAATTTTGAATTTCACAACATTCTTTGAATATCTCGATAACGTCTCTCAATAATCTTACACTTTTTATAGAGCAGATATAACATTTGGTTTCTGACCTCATGGTCTTAGTAATTGAAAGCGGCCAAAAATTTCAGATGAGCTTTGTAATTCTAAGGCAGAGAAACTGCTCTTAAATCAATTTTTTAACAATCAACTGGCTTGTTTTCGACCACATGGCATGTGTAGAAACACAACCACTAAAATAAAATCTTTCCGGGAATATTTTAACCTTGACAACTCATCACTGTGGTTCCTTCAGTGACAGGAGACACTCCATCTCAGTACAAGGACACACTTGTGAACAAACCCCTTGTCCTTTCAGGTAAAAGTCAATTCAAACGGAAGACTGTCTGCATCCTTACACATGTCATATACTGAAAAGCCAACAACAGCTTTGTAATCAACAGCTTAAAAAGCCTAGTGAAGTGATACTGTGAAATTGTATATGGTTTAACATCCCTTTAAAAAATGTAAGGTTACTTAAGAGGTGGTACCTCCACATTTACCATCTACCTCTGATGGGACACAGAGCCCTCCCCTTCCTCTGCGGAGAGGAAATCTCTTCAAGCGCCCCTCTTTCAGATAAAGCCTGCATCCCTCTTTCATACAATGCCTATAATCTTTCTTTCATATAAAGCCTGCATCCCTCTTTCATATAATGCCTATATCTTTCTTTCATATAAAGCCTGCATCCCTCTTTCATACAATGCTTATATCTTTCTTTCATATAAAGCCTGCACCCCTCCTTTACATAATGCCCACATCCTTCTTTCATAGAAAGCCTCAGTGTTTATCCTTGTGACGTGAGAGATAATGGAGTGTCCCCCAGCTGGACTAGCACTCAATCTACCTTTGCCCATAGCCACCATCATGCAAATCTTCATCATATGGGAAGTGATGGGGAGGCTCGCTAGGGGGGTGCTGGTAGTCGCCCGACCGGGGGTCCCCCACCACATGACCTTGACGACTGTCATCGTCATCGTAATAGTCAGGACCTGGACCAATATCGTCCCCGTACTCTTCGTAATTATCCGGCCCCTCTGCCTGGTAAGGCGGGAGGTTGTGGTAGGGGGACTCCCGGTGGCCATACCCTGCTCCCCCATGCGGGCCCCCCGCTTGCACGTCCCCGCTGCCTTGAGGGGGAGGAGGAGGAGGATAGTCTTGCGGGCTTAAGGACCTGGGGGGCTGCGGGGAGGCACGCATCATTAGGTCCGACTGGCTCTGACGCAGGTTGCTGCTGCTGCCGTACGGGGCCCCGTTAGGGATGTCCTGGTAGTTCTTCACCTGCAAAATAATTGTTATTCTTTGTCTTAATAAGTAAAGAGAGGCAAATCCACACAATATTTGTTTTTGTTTGTTTAAGCAAAGAAAAGCATATCCACACGGTAAAGTTTGTTTTCTTTGAGTAAAGAGAAGCACATCCACAAAATGTTAGTTTAATTTTTAAAAAGCATGTCCAAACAATAATTTTTGTCTTTCTGTAAGTAAGAGAAGCACATCCACACAATAATGTGTTATTGTTTGTTTGAGTAAAAAGAAGCACATCCACATGATAATAGATTTTTTGTTTGTTTTAGAAAAGAGAAGACCACATTCAACACAATAATTAATGGTCATTTTGTGCTGAGAAAAAAAGCAAGACAGGCAGACAGACAGAAACCACCGAGATAAAAGAAACCACCGAGATAAAAGAAACCTCCAACCACCCATCCTATTACAATAAGAACAAAATTTCTTTAAGTTGACTGCAAAGCGAGAGGTTCATCACTTTAATAATCATTCGATTTATATGTAAAAAGACTTTAGAAGGACAAAAAAGTGTTGTTCTTTAATTTAAGAAAAAATAACAACAACAATAATAATAATAAAAGTAGTGTAACACACCAATGATAATGCTATATGACAACAAGAAAATACTATACAACATCCCCACTTGAAACATCCTCTTTCTCTGAGCACACACAAAAGACAAAAGACTATAAATATATTCATTCCCCTTTCCCTTTGAACTGACCGGCCTGTTCCTGTCGCTGTGGATGGAGTGGTCACTCTGGCGGTCAAAGGAGGTGTTGTTGGCGTAGTTCCCGTCATAGCCGCCCCCGCCCCCACCCCCGCCACTGTAGTAAGGGTCATGGGGTGCAAAGCGGTGACTGGAGTAAGGGTCCTCCTGCATGTAGTCCATGTTGCCGCTGTCTCTGTGAGACCAGAACAATTCACTTTTACACGGAGTATGAGATTTACCGCATTTGCAACACAATAAATAGGTCAAATAAATCAATTTTAGTTAAGTTTTACTACATTCACTACACAAACAGGTCACGTAAGTACCGAAAATATGAGGTGTTATTTAAGATGAAAACTTTTTCTTTTATTAGTAAGGGAGGCGTGGTGGTTTTGTGTGTAGGGTGGTTTTAGTTGAGGGAAGTTATGGTATTTTCACCCCTCGTTTGTTGGGTGTATTAAGTAAAGTGAAGGTATGATGGTGTTTTTCACCTCTCAAACAGCGCCAAACCCATTCTCCTCTCCCTCAACGTTTCTTATTAACAATAATAACAATAATAATGATAATTACAAGCCATATTAATATAG